CAAGCCGGTGCCCCCCCCAAACTCCAGGTGCTTCCTACGCCCCTGATCCAGTAATACAAGCTTTCATGAAATACATCATTGTACCCGGCTCAGGCTCAGTACAACTCTCCCATATTTGAGCCCCATATTCCGCGAAAGAAAATTAACAGTTTTCAAACAAAGTGACTATACTGAAAAATATATATGCAAGCACCTCGAACTCAAACGTTTTACCCTTTTCTATTTCCCCAGGCTTTCTCCAGCTGCAAAATTCCCCAGATGGCCAGATCAGCCGCGCACGCCAAACGACAGTTCTTAATAATCATGCACAGATCCTGTCAGATCGATCGAGTATAGCTTTTAGTCAAACGAGTTGGCCGTCGTTCTTAAATCTTAATGTTTCTGTATGAATGTTTGTGATAAAGTTTTAATTTAGACATCTAGTTTCAACTGAGTCTTAATTATGTTTTGGCTCCGAGTTGCTTATTGCGTTCGACGAAGGAGAACGCTTCCTAATCGTGACGTCACGGCTGGATGCTGTGTCCTTTTGAGATTTTTGGATGTAACATTTGCCTCGCTTTCGTGTTCATGGCATTTGCCTCGGTTTCCGGTTTCGTGCGGCGTCTTTGTGTTTCCATGTGCTGTCTTTCCATATTTTGCGAAGACAGAAGGAGATTTTAGCTGTTGTTTTGGGGTTTTTCCTGCGGTTTAATGTAAGGTAATCGGTGGTGTTGTGTTATTTTTATTACATTTATCATCAAAGGTACTTATCAAAGCATCAAGAATTTGTCTTGTGGTGTTTTATCGACTGGCAATCCGACATTTCAATTTGCTATCTTTTTAAATTGTCAGCTAGAGTTCACAGATTTAACTTGAGTTCGCTCTGCTTTAATAAAGGGTTTGGATGCATGTCCAGTATATTCTCTTTGGTCATTGAATGTTGATGAAGTAAACGTTGTTAAGCATTTTAATTTGCAGAGTTGTGTTGAAAAATACGAGTTTTAATTAAGCATGACACAAATATACAAATCCCAGTTATTTTGTTGACACAATGAACCTAATCAGTAATCATAATATTCATAGACAAGCAGAGCGAAGTTTTACTGACGAATTCAGCTGTATTTTTCATGAATATTTCTTGCCAGCAGGGTAATGAAATTTCTGATGCTTTGATAAATTAGTCGGTTGGAACCTTTGTGTTTATATGGAAGCTGGGCTGGCCCGCTTAGTGAGACAGCCTGGTAAGCGGGATGAATTTCTCTTGTCCAGGCTGGCCTGCTTAGTGAGACAGCCTGGTAAGCAGGATGAATTTCTCTTGTGTTAACAATTTTATTGTTTTGACAGTTGTTAAAAATAGCTTGTGGCAGTATCTTTGAATTTTCATCCCTGGAACCGGGCTAGCTTGCTTGTGAGTGTTATATGGAGAAATTTCCATCCCGGTATGCGAGATCTCACCTCTTTCAAGTGAGATATCGGCAACCGGGCCATCCCGCTTGTATTCAGCAAATAATAACAGCAACTTGCCTTGGAATGTTTTGTTCGCTTATAGAGAATATAGTGCCATCTAACTGTGAAAGTTCACCTGGTGACTGCTTTTTTGCATCCTCAGGACATGGTCTTTATAAAAATCCTAATTTGCCATCTTGATATTCGTAGTGCAGGCATTACACATTTAATGCATAATCCTGAGTTATAAATAGAGGATATTACACGGCGGCATGAAGATATGACTTTTATCTTTGAGCGGTGAAAACAATATTTTATGAACGAGTTACGAACGAGTGCAGCGAGTGAGTAAAATATTGTTTTTAACACGAGAAGATAAAAGTCGTATCTTCAAGCCACCGTGTAATGTTCTGTTTATTATATAGTCCCAAGCAAAAAAATGTATAAATACTAAAAGTCACATGATCGATATCTTCACTAGTGAAGATATGGGAAATATCTCACTGTGTATTTTTTAGTATCTTACTCTCTACTATACCGGTACTGTATAATAAATTGAAAATATTTTATGGGAAAATTATGTTGAAGAAATGTCACAACCTGGAACATAGTATCATTATTCAAGCAGGAGCAAATGCTTTAAGCTGCACTATTCATATTACTGATTCCAGTCCAAATGCTAATGCAACCATTTTAAACCCTTTACACCAGGGGCACAGAATTCTATTTAGTTGAGTTGCAAGGCCTATAAACTCAAACTGAAGAAATGCTCATACCTCGAGCTCGCCTATAATTAGGGTTTATATCATAAACCAGGCAGGCAAATGGGGGTATTCGGGGCATTGCATTAATTTGCCTTGAGCAACATGTTGAAGAGCTTGCATCAGTTTTGCCAAGTCATCCCAGGGTCTATTATTATAGTTACATTTAAGGATGTTAAGGTCAGAAGTAAGAAAAAGTGCAACATGCATTAATGCTATAATGCTATGGCTTTTGAGAAATAATCTACATTATAGTAATGTGACTATCAATCAACATTGCCTTAGAATCACTCCCTATTGGTAGTGTTCCATCTGATATGACAGTTGAGTATGAAAATGATATTTGGACACATGAAATAATATCGCCTGATTTACAGTAGGCCATTCCAGTGATAACATTGAAGACCAAGTTAATGTACAATGTGACAACAGAAATGAATAGCTTTATGCCAGCCTGTGAAAAACAGTAAAGAGAAGTAGATGCAATAAAAAATCAGTTGTTTCCAAATGATGGCATCCGGCCCACTTTTGATAACTACCCTATGGTGCAATAATAACATTTTGGACAACGTCTACTCTACACCGAACCTCTGTGACCGAACGCACTTCACTAATTGCGTTCGACGAAGGAGAACGCTTCCTAATCGTGACGTCACGGCTGGATGCTGTGTCCTTTTGAGATTTTTGGATGTAACATTTGCCTCGCTTTCGTGTTCATGGCATTTGCCTCGGTTTCCGGTTTCGTGCGGCGTCTTTGTGTTCCCATGTGCTTTCCATATTTTGCGAAGACAGAAGGAGATTTTAGCTGTTGTTTTTGGGTTTTTCCTGCGGTTTAATGTAAGGTAATCGGTGGTGTTGTGTTATTTTTATTACACTTATCATCAAAGGTACTTGCCAAAGCATCAAGAATTTGTCTTGTGGTGTTTTATCGACTGGCAATCCGACATTTCAATTTGCTATCTTTTTAAATTGTCAGCTAGAGTTCACAGTTCGCTCTGCTTAATAAAGGGTTTGGATGCATGTCCAGTATATTCTCTTTGGTCATTGAATGTTGATGAAGTAAACGTTGTTAAGCATTTTAATTTGCAGAGCTGTGTTGAAAAATACGAGTTTTAATTAAGCATGACAATTGACAAATAAATACACAAATCCCAGTTTGGCTATAGTATACTAGGTGGACATACAAATATACAAATCCCAGTAATTTTGTTGACACAATGAACCTAATCAGTAATCATAATATTCATAGACAAGCAGAGCGAAGTTTTACTGACGAATTCAGCTGTATTTTTCATGAACATTTCTTGCCATGTTTGACCCGTGCTACCAATGAAATTTCTGATGCTTTTATATAAAATTAGTCAGTTGGAACCTTTGTGTTTATATGGAAGCTGGGCTGGCCCGCTTAGTGAGACAGCTTGGTAAGCGGGATGAATTTCTATTTCTCTTGTGTTAACAATTTTATTGTTTTGACAGTTGTTAAAAATAGCTTGTGGCGGTATCTTTGAATTTTCATCCCTGGAACCGGGCTAGCCTGCTTGTGAGTATTATATGGAGAAATTTCCATCCCGGTATGCGAGATCTCACCTCTTTCAAGTGAGATATCGGCAACCGGGCCATCCCGCTTGTATTCAGCAAATAATAACAGCAACTTGCATTGGAATATTTTGTTCGCTTATAGTGAATATAGTGCCATATAACTGTGAAAGTTCACCTGGTGACTGCTTTTTTGCATCCTCAGGACATGGTCTTTATAAAAATCCTAATTTGCCATCTTGATATTCGTAGTGCAGGCATTACACATTTAATGCATAATCCTGAGTTATAAATAGAGGATATTACACGGCGGCATGAAGATATGACTTTTATCTTTGAGCGGTGAAAACAATATTTTATGAACGAGTTACGAACAAGTGCAGCGAGTGAGTAAAATATTGTTTTTAACACGAGAGGATAAAAGTCGTATCTTCAAGCCACTGTGTAATGTTCTGTTTATTATATAGTCCCAAGCAAAAAAATTTATAAATACTAAGTCACGTGATCAATATCTTCACTAGTGAAGATATGGGTATCTTCACTAGTGAAGATATGGGAAATATCTCACTGTGTATTTTTTTGTATCTTACTCTCTACTATACTGTATAATAAATTGAAAATATTTTATGGGAAAATTATGTTGAAGAAATGTCACAACCTGGAACATGGTATCATTATCAAGCAGGAGCAAATGCTTTAAGCTGCACTATTCATATTACTGATTCCAGTCCAAATGCTAATGCACCATTGTAAACCCTTTACACCAGGGGCACAAAATTCTATTTAGTTGAGTTGCAAGGCCTATAAACTCAAACTCATACCTCGAGCTCGCCTATAATTAGGGTTTATATCATAAACCAGGCAGGCAAATGGGGGTATTCAGGGCATTGCATTAATTTGCCTTGAGCAACATGTTGAAGAGCTTGCATCAGTTTTGCCAAGTCATCCCAGGGTCTATTATTATAGTTAAGATAAAGGGTAAAGATAACACATTTAAGGATATTAAGGTCAGAAGTAAGAAAAAGTGCAACATGCATTAATGCTATATAAATGCTAGGGCTTTTGAGAAATAATCTACATTATAGTAATGTGACTATCAATCAACAATGCCGTAGAATCATTCCCTATTGGTAGTGTTCCATCTGATATGACAGTTGAGTATGAAAATGATATTTGGACACATGAAATAATATCGCCTGATTTACAGTAGGCCCTTCCAGTGATAACAACATAACATTGAAGACAAAGTTAATGTACAGTGTGACAACAGAAATGAATAGCTTTATGTGCCTGCCAGCCTGTGAAAAACAGTAAAAGAGAAGTAGATGCAAGTAGATATTTGGACACATGAAATAATATCGCCTGATTTACAGTAGGCCCTTCCAGTGATAACATTGAAGACAAAGTTAATGTACAATGTGACAACAGAAATAAATAGCTTATGCCAGCCTGTGAAAAACAGTAAAGAGAAGTAGATGCAATAAAAAATCAGTTGTTTCCAAATGATGGCATCCGGCCCACTTTTGATAACTACCCTATGATGCAATAATAACATTTTGGACAACGTGTACTCTACACCGAACCTCTGTGACCGAACGCACTTCACTAATCTAAGATTATTACTAGTATAAAGAATAGTCGTGTTTGAAGCCGTTTAATAAACTCGCAGGTCGTGTTTTATTCACAATTAAAGTTCTGTCTAACAAAATGTAGCTATATGTACAAATACTGGGTATTGCTACAACCCTTTATTAGTAGCCTAATCCGGAATGGTTATTATTGCGTTTATAATAAGTCAAATTCAATATACAAAGTATACTATGTCTATGGTAAAAGCGACTAATCACTCTTACGAGTTACGCTCGTATAAGCGTCTGCGAATTAGTTCAATAACTAAAAGTTGAAGAATCCAGTAACGCTCCTCCTGCCTCCTCCACAGATGCTCGTCAACGAACTGCCTACCAAAAGCGACACGGAATATCTCTTACGGTATTGTACTGTATCCATCACATTTACAATGGCATATATCTTTCATTTTCTTGCTAGAGAATACACAGCCATCCTAAAAATACATTTCAAACACTCATTAATAATTCATAAGCTTAATGGCAAATCATGTCAACCATAATATGTCACGTGCAGTGGTTTTAAACCTGATAAAACACTCCTAATTAGTATTCTTTATTTAAAGAATACTAATAAGGCAGTATCTATTGTAGTCGTGTCCCCATTAGTATTCTTTATATAAAGAATACTAATAGGCAGCATATCTATTGAATTTGTAGTCGTGTTTGAAGCCGTTTAATAAACTCGCAGGTCGTGTTTTATTATGTCTAAAGCCTGGTCTAAAGCCACTCGCGCTGCGCGCTCGTGTCTTTAAACATAATAAAACACTCCTGCTCGTTTATTAAACAGTACTTAAGATACCAAGGTACGTGTACACTAATTGAAATACGTATAGAGAGCAGGTTGTCGTTTATACGTATGTGATACGTACGGTAAAGTTTAACAACAGTTAAAGTTTCTAACAACATGTCTTGGACTCGTCATGTTTTTAATTTACGTGAAAAAGCTCTAAAAAATTGAATCTTCTCGAAGGTTTAAAATTTTCTAGAACAACTTTGAAGTCTTTGTATAAGTCGTTTGTTCGTTCGAATCTTGAATAATTGACTGATAAAAATCAATCAATCAATCAATCAATATGAATCTGATTGGCTTGAATCCGTACAAACTGATGCTGGAAGGATAATAACTGGGGCTATGAAGGGTACGCACAGGGAGAGTGTATTACAAGATATTGGTTTACATAAGCTTACTAATAGAAGGAAAATACATAGAGTAACTTTGTTATATAAGATTAAAAATGGATTATTTCCTGAATATATCTCTGATCTTTGCCCTATTCGGGTTGGTCAAAGATCTGAGTACACTCCGATCAAGTAATGACGTGTAAACACGTTTCAAATTCGAGCCCGTTTATTGTGCGTGCCCGTTGCCTCTACGGAAAAAAATTACAAAGTCCTTTTTTACCATTGACTATAAAATTTTGGAATATTCTTCCAGAACAACTACGAAATTCTTCTTCAGTTGACTCTTTTAGAAATAATTTGATTCGTGATTTATTTTATGTACCTCCTGCTAATAAATTATTCAATCTTGGGGATCGTTATTTAAGCATTTTACACACTAGATTATAAAGAAATATCTTAGACAAAAGATTTGGTAATCAGCAACAAATTGTCAATGCCTACATGAATGCTTTATTAAACCTGCCCAAGGTGACTAATGTAGTAATGTAGATAATTTAAAGGCTCTTGGGCAATTACATGATAAAGTAGAGAGCCATATGAGGGGATTGAAATCACTTGAAGTTGACTCTGGTTCATATGGTAGTCTGTTAACATCTATTTTAATTGATAAGTTGCCTGAAGAGCTACATTTAGAAGCTACAAAGCAACTCAAAGAAGACTGGGATCTAGATGAACTCATCAAAATCTTTAAAAGGGAACTAGAGGCTCGAGAGAGGGCAAGTCTCTTACCCGGTAGTCCAAGGGATCCCCCATCTAAGCCACTGTATAAACCTAAGATCCCAACTGCATCATCTTTGTTTACTACTGGAGGAAGTCCAACAAGCACCTACTACTGTCAACAACCCCACCCTTCAAATAGTACCATAATATGTCTGTAGTACCGTGACAGACATAAATGAGAGAAAGGAAATTCTGCCTGGAAGATGTTATATATGCCTTAGAAAGAATCATGTTGGCACAGAATGCAAATCTAAGATAAAGTGTTTTAAATGTGATGCGTCATCACATTAGTATTTGCCCATCAAATTCTAAAGTGAAACCTACCCCACCAGAACAAGAAGCATCCTGCCACCACCACCCCCCCCTGAAGAACACACACACGCATGGTAGGTCACCAACCCACGAACCAAAATAGAGAACAACCTCAGAACACCCATGTCAATATGTTTGTCGATGCACAGTCCTCGATTCTTTTACAAACCGCAAGAGCCACCATTTACAACCCGAAAGATCCTAGTAAGACGTCGCAGGCAAGACTTATATTTGAGTATTTGACAGTGGAAGACAAATTAAAGGTCATACATAACTTCCGCAATGAGAGACAAGCTGAATCTCCCTATAGTAAGAAAAGATACCCTCAAGATTAATGCATTTGGTTCTAAGGATGCAGATATTACCTCTTGGCCTGCATGTGATATGGTTCAACTTCAGTTGGACACTGAGAGAGGACATAAGTTAAACCTATCGGCTTATGTTGTCGACAAGATGTGCCCAACAATCCTATGAACATCTTTCTAGTCTAAAACTTGCTGACTCAGCAAACGATGGAGAAGAATTCGATTTGGATATACTGATCGGAAGCAATTATTGTTGGCAGTTGGTCACTGGTCATGTAATCCATGGAAACGATGGTCCTACAGCAATGCATACCTATGTAGCTCGGCTGGGTTTTGTCTGGTCCAGTGAAGGGGGCATCACCCGATTCCTATTCCAATGTCAACATAGCATCTACCCATGTGTTACGATGTTCTATCCAACACACCCCTTCCCCAGAAACAACAATCGAAACTAACCTGAAATGTTTTTGGGAATTAGAATCACTTGGTATCGGTCCTGACGAGCATTCTGTTTATGAACAGTTTCTAAGTACTGTGAAACACCGAGATGGTCGATATGAAGTTCACCTACCATGAAATGATAACCAAGTCACCATACCAGACATCTATCATCTTAGTCTAAGGAGACTAGCTAGAATTTCTCCTAAGGAAACTCCAACAAGATCCTAAAACCCTGAAGGGATACGATAACATTCTGAGGGCCCCTCTCTGAATGATTGCTTATACACTTGTCCATCGCTTGCTGAGAACATTGTAAACATTCTGCTGAGATTCAGGTGTCATCCAACAGCATTGGTCGGAGATATTGAAAAGGCGTTTTTGATGATTGCCATTGCAAAGGAAGATCGAGACCTCGTGAGATTTCTCTGGGTTGATGATATCACTAAGGATGATCCTAAGATTATGATATTTCGATTTACTCGAGTGGTATTCTGGGTGACGGCCAGTCCATTTTTGTTGAATGGGACAATCAAACATCACATTGAACATATCAGGAAGAAGACCTGGAGTTTGTACAGAAGTTTCTGAATGACATTTACGTGGATGATCTAAGTTCTGGAGCCAAGGATGACAACGCAGCCTAAGAACCGTATATTAATAAAATCAAAACAACGACTAAGTGAAGGTGTATTCAATCTTCGCCAGTTTCTATCTAATTCTCCAATCCTAATGCAAAATATACAGCAAAATGAAGAAACCCCGCCATCGGTCAGCCGTCAACGACAGATGTGGTCAATGATGTGTGTACTGAGGATAAGTCATATTTCAAATCAACAGTCTGTAATCAGAAACGATTCTGGGAATTCGGTGGAACTATATTGTCCAAGCAGCTAGAGAACTCAAGCCTACGCCTACGATGCGAAATGTCATTGGTATCATATCCCGTTTCTACGACCCCTTGGGAGTTCTCGCACCCATAACAGTCAAATTAAAGGTGTTCTTTCAGGAGATACTGTATGCCAATCTAAAGTTGAATGGGACGAGGAATTATCGAGCGAACTAAAGAAGTGGGAGGATCTTGTCCTAGACCTGAAAAATATAGAATCGACACTAATATTGAGATGTTATCAAGCGGGAATCGAAGAAGGGAATTATCGAGCGAACTAAAGAAGAAGTGGGAGGATCTTGTCCTAGACCTGGAAAATATAGAATCGACCCTAACATTGAGATGTTATCAAGCGGGAATCGAAGAAAAGGTTCTTCCTTAGGGACCGGTCATTATTTATGGTGGGAGGTGGCACCGAAGAGAAAAGGGTTGGGTAAACTAAATTTTGAGTAAGTAAAAGGTTGGGTAAATGAAAAACAAAACAACTCGAGGGTTGGGTAATAAAAAATTATTGTAATTTCCAAAGCATGACTCACTGAAGTATTGGGGACTAAAAAGCAATGGCAACAGTAGGCCCTACTCTGGGGCGATAACGAGATAATGTGAGTTTAAATTAAGCAATTTTAGGTGATTTAAGCAAAATCTGCAATTTTTAAGCAATGCGAGTTTGAGCGATACACAGGGGCGGATCGAGCGTTTTGGATGACAGGTTTACTAGGTCCACACAACCACTAGGGGGGTCCGGGCATGGGCGTACCGGAAGGAAAAAATTAGGGGGGCGGAAAGAAAATTGCCCGACTTTTCGGGATTTTGCCCGACTAGTTTTTGGCGACCCCCCATACACAAAATTTTCGAAAAATCACAAAATTTGCCAAAAATTGACTTAATTTTAGACAAAATTTACAGAATTTGTCACATTTTTTTTTATTGCAAGCCAAAATTGCCCGACTGCCGCCCCCCCCGCCCCCCCGCCCGGTACGCCTATGGGTCCGGGGGTCCACACAACCACTAGGGGGGTCCGGGGGCATGCACCCCCGGGAAATTTTTAAAATTCGGGCCTCTGAAACAGCATTTCCTGCGTTCTGGCGTCACCTTTTAAATTAATTTAATGGTTAGAAAATACATGTTTTTAAGAGAATTTTGGACTAATATACGCAGCTCAAACAATAAATTGAACCTTTTCGGAAACTTATTAGCCGGTGATAAAAATATAGGATTGGCAAATTGCTGACGCATCGATATTTATTATAAGTACAACAAGTAGAGAAGCTTTTAATATAAACATACTATGTTGTAATTTTAGATCTATACGCTTTCAAACTAACCGCTTTAACAATGAAATAGAAACCAAACTGCAAGAGCATGAAAGCTTTACAATTATTTCCTGATTCTCTATCGCAAACGCAATGATTCGGTCACGCAATATTATAAGAATTATACACATATTTCGCGCTATCATGATTGTAGACTGTGTAGAAGTTACACGTATAAACATCGATACGCTTGTTGACGGATCCATATTTATTATACAGTAAGTATAAATAGCTTACAGATATAACTTTAAACTATATACTTTTAAACAAACCTTCAAAATGAACAAGAAATCCATGTAAATGCTTCTATCGCCAACGCAATTTTCAGTCACGCAAAATTATAAACATATTTCGCGCGTCCTCGAGTTCTGTTAACTTTCATTCCCAGTTTTCTCTAAATACTGCTCGACTCACAGGTTTATGACCGGTTTACATCCGTCGGAGCGCAGCCGTTTAGCCAATCGAATGGCGTATCGACCGGTTTACTCTCATTGAGAAAACTCTGACGGTCTGACCACCGGTTTACTCATAATTGCGGGCGGTTATGTGTGATTCATGCGATGTTTCAGTCCACGACCCACGACGATACATTAGCAGATTATTTCAGTCTAGTATTACAACATTTCGTAAGAGGAAACCAACGCGATAAGTCCTTAATTCTTGATGCTTCTTATGTAAGTGGGTCTAAATACGCTCGGTAATCCAGAATCAAATTTCAATAAGAGTATTTAAATGGCGTAATAGATTAGACAACATCAAGTTTATGAAACAGAATATTCTTTAAAAATTAAATTAGTTATATATATATATATGTACATGGAAGGTTATAGATTTTCTTTCTTTGGAAAATCTGACAGGTTTATATAAACCTGTCAAACCTGTCTGAATCCGCCCCTGCGATATAGGGTGATTTAAGAATATATATATATATATATATATATATACTTTCCTGTTGGCGATTTAATCATTATGCGTTTGGGCAGTTTTAGGCGGTTAATAATAGAACTTTGATCAATTTTGACCTGCGATTTAAGGCGAGTTACCACCCTAGAGTAGGCCGTCATATGTCAATACAATATGTGAATCAATCAGAGTCACTATCTTGATCTATTTCCGATGGGATCTCAAAAGAAAGTACATGTGCAGACAACATGAAAATTTTTAGACTGCAGAAAATTTCACAATCCGTTATCAACCTTATGTCACAGAAGTCGTAAAGGACATACGTGACAACTGAATGGTACCTTTTGTAAATTTTTTGGCCAGGGGTGGGTATTTATTTTTTAATTGATATTTGAGGTTGGGTAATCAATTTTTTTACTTTTTAATTGTTGAGTCAGCAAAATTTTTGCCACGAAAAACATTTCTCTTCGGTGTCACCCCCCGCCATAAATAATGACCGGTCCCTTACAGTCTCCAGGGATTTTGCGACGCATCGCTTAAAGCCTATGGAGCTATTGTTTATCTGAAAATGACTGCCTCACTGGGAACGTTTATAAGATTTGTTATTACCAAAACAAGAGTCTCTCCAATTAACAAACAAAGCATTCCAAGATTAGAACTTCTTTCAGCAGTCATACTAGCAAGACTTATTTCAACCGTTACAAGGGCTCTGAATGAAACCCTAAAGCTCGATGATCCAACCTGTTCGACTGATTCTAACGTAGCAGTGTACTGGATACTTGGTGAAACCCAAGAATCGAAACAGTTCGTTCAAAATCGTGTCGTTGAGATAAGAAAATTGGTGCCATTGAAATGCTGGAGACATGGCCCCGATAAAGTAAATCCCGCGGACATTGCTTCTAGAGGAGCAACCTCCACTGATTCAGGCGCACTTCAAACCTGGTTAGATGGTCTCAATGGATGCTCAAGGATATATCGAAAGCGAGGGAGTTGAGGGGAAGAATAAATGAAGAATTTCCGAAAGAATGTATTACAGAAATGAAAGCCAACGATCGAAAGGAATTTCAGAACACTTGTTCACTCATATGCACCGAAACAAGTTACCAAAATGACGTACTAAGGTTTAGGAGTTACCAGAAGCTTATTACAGTGACATCCATGGTTTTACGATTTATTCGACGAGTGAAGAAAGCCCATCATAAGAGCCGAAGAGAATAAGCTGAAATCGCAGGAATTTTATGGTTTAAAGAAATCCAGTTAGATCTTCCAAATCACCCTTCGTTTGAAACATGAAAAAAACAGTTTGGATTATTCTGGGATGAGAATGGAATCGTCAAGTGCAAGGGAAGAATTTCGAAAGCGAACATTCCTGACGAAACCAAACATCCAATTCAGTTGAACGCAAAAAATAGATTAACCGAGTTAATTGTTAAGGAATCCCATATGCAATCGTGTGTTTCACAACGGTTCGGAGCCTTTTGAACCTAAATTCTCTTACAGAATGCTGGAAATAATTGGTTATCTCGATCTCTTAGCTTACGATGGTTTTAGTTTACCAATGTTGAATTTTCATGCTAATTCTGCCATATTTACCGCAGTAAGGTTACTTATTGAGCAATCAGCACGTTTTAAATAGGTTGTATATTTTAGCAATTTATAGTAAACTATGATAAATATATATTCAGTATATATTTCTGGAGCAATTTGGCGTACTATTTTATTTATTCTCTGTCTGCTGGTTATTGTGTGTTTTTAATGTAACTGCATGGTTATCTCCGCGATGAGCACTGTGCTTTTGAGACAAATGTAAAGATTTGATAAAGTTTATACAAAAAAAGTTTAAATCTGGATTTAAGTTGAAGAACCACATAAATAAATTACTTTGTTCCTCGGTCTCGGTAAATAACTCTTATTATTATTGCAGAATCCTGGATTCTGATTGGTCGACGTGCGGTCCGTAAAATGCGTATCCGGACCGTGGTCCGTATTTTCCCGTATCTGGACCGGTTTCCCGTATGTCAATTTGACAGGCTCGAATTTGAAACGTGTTTACACGTTTATAAGGTCGTTATGTGAAGCCGTTTGAACTCTTACTGGCAACCGTACGTTTTGGCGGGGAAAAGTTTTTGATTTGTTTACTTGTTTCAAAAAATAAATAAAGATGAATTTAACGTCTTTAATACCATATTCTAAACAAATATCATATAAACTGGGTTTATAAACATTTTTTCTGGAGGTGGGGGTTACCGAAAAAGCAGTTCTAAACCGATTGTTAAACATGCTTTTCCGTAAACAATATTTGGTGACGAAACCAAATCTAAACGAAGAAAACTAGCAAATAAAACATAGCTCAGAAATACCTTTATAGCGCTCAAACAAATATATGAAAATCAGAAAATGTGTTTAAGGATAAACGGTTTATTAACCTCGTTTTGCTCGGTCTGTACGGGAAAGTATTTGCCTTCGGTTTATCCGCACAGACCTCGCTCCTTCGCCGCTCGGTCTGTACGAAAACCTCAGGCAAATACTTTCCCGTACAGACCTCGCTCTCCGTTAATAACCCTTTAGTAGTACATATATTAAAAATGTTAACGGCTTCAACTTTTCCTTGCGCATACGCAAATAAATCATGTATAAATGGAAAGCAGTCTTAAATCTCTTCCGCCGTACTGCACCTTAATCAATCCTGGCAGAGCCGCCCAAAACTCAAAATTTGGTATAACTTCTTTCCCTGTCGCTCCTCTTTTATACTTCATAAATAATATTCCAGCCACAAGATAAATAACGACAACAACAAAGAAACTAAAATAGAAACGTTTTTGCTTTGAACCGGGTACTGAATGTTTCATATTATATTTCTTAAAGTTGTTGGCTGGAAACGGATAATACAAGGCACTTACACTATAACAAAAAGACTGCCAATACTAAAACCTCCACCACTTGAAGAGGAACCTCCAGGACTTGGTTGAACTAGCTGAGGACGAAGACTGTTGGACGTTATATTCCATGTCTGATTAAAGTAAGAGAAGTTGCAATAACAAATGATACAATAGATTACACTAACAATATATGCACACTGCATGATTAAAATTTTCAGGTTAATTAAACTAAATATAACACTATTTGGTCATTTTTTAAATTCCCTGCTTGTGTTTATACCTCGATTTGCTTTGTGTGCATATGTGGGGCCTCTTCTCAACTAAGTTTATTCGTCCCATTTCTCATATCAGTAACTTAGACGGAAGGGACCTTTGGGAGCCCAAAAAGAGCTATAAATAGAGGTTGTGGGAACTCGGCTCCCCCAGTTTATATGATAAAAGAGGCCCTGTGCATGCGTGCGTTTGTGAGCGCATGTCCGTCAGCATGATTATTAAAGATTATTAGAGATTATTAAAAAAAAGGTCATCAAGTTTAGATTAGTGTCAGATAAAGATTGAATTAGATTAAGATTATGTAAGGGTTGGTGTTAGGGCTCAACATGTGTCGCGAATTTATCGTATTGATAATTTTGGACGTGTTTAACAATTTCTCATATAGTAAATTCAAAGGTGGAGCTCATGCTGCACAGTAAAGTAGACTTGTCAAATAAATTGAGGTACCTACGTATTGATGTAAATTTGACGATGTTATACTTCGTGATACTTTTGACTGCCCTTCATCTCCAATAGGATTCAAGTTTATAACCAATTGTCTTCTGTTATAAACAAGAGAAAACATGCATGTAATTATATCAGCTCATGAAATGACGAAATTTAGAAAAGGCCTCCGCAAAGGTGGGACTTCTTCTCTTGTAATTTACCTTAATAAAAAAAAACATACTTTGGGACCAAAGGTACTACTGTTCAATGTTTTTGTGCACGTTTATGGAAATTTGCACACTTTCACTTTTCTCCAAAGAAGCCGAATCACCCAAACAACCTTGGTTGTTTAAATCGTTCAACTGTCTGTAATGTTTGAATATTATTAATCCAGGACAAAAGGTTTCTGTAAATCGATCTTCAACATCAGTAGGAGTTTGGTATGTGATCAAACCTGAGACCTGACCTTGTTAGGGTAACGGTGTACAAACGGTGGCGGTGTGCATTTTGTTAAGAATAGAATAATGATCAACTAATTTTATTGGTCAAAACAGGTCACACGGCTATTGCGTGATCTGCTCACACGTCTTATTGCAAAAGTGCTCAAGTTATCTCTTTATAGTTTGGTTTTCATATTCATAATAAAATGGGTTAAAAACGCATCATTAGTTCGTTCGTTCGATATATTTTCCACACACCTACATTACATGCATTAATTCAGGCAGCGTGCAAATGGTGGTTAACTTTAGAAATGTTTACACATACATATGTCATCAAAAAACAAATTTAACTACATCTCTCAATTCTATATTTATTTCAAACTACAAGACCACCACATAGTATGAAAATTATTATCATTATTTTCTCACTCTGATCACTGCCGGTTGACTACCATTTGCGACACAAAAGTACGTGCATGCTATGCAGGCTAATCTACTGCTTGAGTTATGAGTCGAACCCCTATTTTGAAATTTACCACTGTTAAGCTATTTGTCTGCTTAAAAGAGGCGACTTTCATATGGGCTCAACTGTAGTAAAATTACTCACATTATACCATCCTTCCATTTATACAATGCATATCTAACTTGAACTGGTTTGCCTTCCTCATAATCACCGTAATTCGATATATTAGGTTTGGCAACGGGAATAAACTTTGATTTATCTGTATTTTCTTGACACATCTACAAAACGAAAACGGGCAGTAGATTATCATGCATTGCTAGGGCAAGAATGAGTTGTTTTTTCCTTCAGATCAGTTTTTTTAATATCCCCATAACCTAACCATTCTCATATACGGAATATTCAGTCTGTCTGGTCAGTCGCGGGATGGAATATATATCAAGAATTGTGTCCATATCAAGAAGTCCTAGCTTTCATGATTATTTCGTCGTTATAAATTGATTCATAATGATAGATTTTCTTGAATATATAGATTAATAACAATATACTGTACCTATAGTAGGCCTATATGAGTTTATCTATGGTCGAGTGTCGAGTGTCGAGGGTAAAAAGTCGAGGGCGAGAGTAAAAAGTCGAGGGTGAGGGTAAAAAGTCGAGGGTGAGGGTAAAAAGTCGAGGGTGAGGGTAAAAAGTCGAGAGTAAAAAGTCGAGGGTAAAAAGTCGAGGGTTAAAAGTCGAGGGTAAAAAGTCGAGTGTAAAAAAGTCACAAAAAAATACAAGTTCAATATTGAGGTCAGGTAACCGCTTCAGATAAGCCATATAGCGACGTCTACGCGTCTTCTCGGCAGTATTGTTATATAATATGCGTTCCACGCACACACGTTGGGCGATGTTTTCGCCTTTATTGGCAGATCAGGTTATTGACATATCCGACATGCCGCAATCCACTGGCTCGAATAAACATATTTGGCGGATATCACGCCTCATATATCCTAAGTCCTTACTTGCATCTTGCATTCTGCTCTCTTGGCTTGAAATTTATTTGATCGATGTTTCGCTTTCAATTTCGCTGAAAATGTCTTCAGACAAGTTATATTCCGATGCTGTACGGTCAGGAAGTTCTGATGAGGATGTAGCCTCTCCTGTAGCCTCTCCTATAATTACAGGTGTTTCAAAAAAGGTTTTCCGCTTCAAAAATCTCAAACCTTAAACTCTGAAAATGAGCGTGCAAGGTGTACTAGGGTTATTTTCCCAATCAAAAGCCCTAAAAAGAAGTTACTCATCACTCTTTGCGCGCTTAGAGTTTAAGGTTTGAGATTTTCGAAGGACAACCTTTTTTGAATTAGCTGTACTATAATTAGTCATTGTCGATGCTGTTTCTGCTCGTGTTAGTTAGTTAAATAAATAACAATCATAAACAATCATTAATCGTTAGTTAAATAAATAACAATCATAACAATCATTTAATAGTCATGTTTAAAACACGAATTTGCTCGTGGACACATTACAATGGTACAAAATCGAGACCGGCAATGATGACAACAAGTAACTTGACTTCTATTTTAAGGCTTAAGCTATTGTTTCGTGTGCACTCAAGAAAATTTGGAAAGCGTTAAAATTGGAGGCCCGCAATTATTTTGAACGCGGGATTGTTTATAAAGAGTTCTGTCTAGCTATCTTAAAATTTAACGGTAGGTACTCGGAGTTTTACGGCTGTGTATCAATTCATCTGCTTTGCGGAATAATAATTTAGCCGGTTAAGCGCATGTACAGTATACTGAAGAACCTTGTATGTAGGCTATATCAAGTTATTTATTGCCGGTTAAAGCAGGGCGCTTTTTTACTAAAGATCTAAAGAGCCCTGTTTAGTATATGTAATATACTGTAGTTTGTGTAGAAAATAAACAATATATAACTGATCGTATTGTTGTCTGCACGGCTGCATGCAAATGTGATCAGGAGTTATTCAGGACGCAAAGCCACGCTGTGGCATATTATGTACATTTAAAACGCAGAATGCACCACGTATCGTATATAGTATATGTGCGTGGAACGCATATTATAGGTTTGATTATATTTGGTTTAGAAGTGCTCATATAACAATACTGCCGAGAAGACACGTAGACGTCGTTATGGCCTCACTAAAGCGGTTACCTGACCTCAATATTGAATTTGTATTTTTTTGTGACTTTTTTACCCTCGACTTTTTACCCTCGACTTTTTACCCTCGACTTTTTACCCTCGACTTTTTACTCTCGACTTTTTACCCTCACCCTCGACTTTTTACCCTCGCCCTCGACTTTTTACCCTCGCCCTCGACATTTAACCCTCGACACTCGACACTCGACCAATAGATAAACTCGTCGCGTTTCGGTCGCATTACACGACTGATCATGTCGCAAAATTCGACAGCGTCGCATTTAATGCATCCCGTCAGATTGAATCAATTTATACGTCGAATTTTCGTCGGAAATCATGACTTTACTGAAATTCGACGCATTAAATTCGACTGAAATTCGACATATAAACTAGGCCTTAGCATTTCTGACTATATTCTTTGCAGGCTTGATCATGATTTGTTGTAGTTTTGCTACGCTGTACTATTTAACGCAAACAGTCGTCATATTCAATATATTAGTGAGGCGGATATGTGTAAAATTATTGATCAGTAGTACCCGTTGAGGTTAAAAGCATCAAACTTTTACAATTGATGTAGTTTTATTTGCTTAATAGATATTTGAAGTGGGGCCATCGCTATTTTGCTGCTAACTCCTGAAAACGGGTGATTAGTGATTTTCTTCTATTGAATTCTATTATAGCCAAAAAATGTGAAATTTTGTATTCAATTACAACAAATATGACTTGCATCATCAGAAAGCTTATAAAAAACTCATGCATATAAGACGTTTAGACAGTTTTTTGATTTCTGAAATAGTTTTCGAATTATAAACTGTTAAAAACGCATTTTCAAACATCAAATAATTAATTAGGGACTTTTAGCGAGATAATGTGCCTAATTTACAGCAATAACCACTGGAAGAATAAAAAAACTGTTTAAAAGTCTTTTATGTAGTTTTTTACAAGCTTTCTGATGATGCAAGTTATATTTGTCGCGATTGAATTCAAAATTTCACATTTTTTGTTGTAGTAGAATTTAATAGCAAATAATGCTAACAGCATCGTAGCTCTCTAAAAAAAAACAGTTTCACGATGGCCCCACTTTTGCATGTTGTTCTACTCATAAAAAGATGCTACTGTGCACAATTTGGTGCTTTTAACCCTCTTCAGAAACATTCATGCACATATCCGCCACACTATATAGGCCGTTTGCTGCGCCCCGGTATCGTTCACTTTCATTTCACTTTCATTTCATTTCATTTCATTTCATTTCAAATTAATGCCTTTACTTAATTTGCATATTGCTGACATATGCAAATTAGGCAAAGGTATTAATTAAGCATGCAAATAGCTGATTTTTAGGGAAAAATGTAAGTTTGCGCGAATAGTTAAAGGGCTTAAAACTAAAGCAAATTGTGTGAAATTTTGTACAGTAATTACAAACCCAACAAATCTTTCATCTATTACTGACTCAAAATATGATTAAAGCTTTTAAATTTCGTGCGCAAGCCATTTTTAGTTTGTTGGAAAAGATACAAATTTCGTGCGCAAGCCATTTTTAGTCTGTTGGAAAAGAGTATACACCCTTGGTTCACAAAATTTGAGTTCGAGAAATTTGTTTCATTATTCTACATTATAAGTACCCAAGGAAGCTCAGTATACATAAAAAAACTGGATACTAATAGCTGTTTTGTGAAATTGAGAGTAATTTCAAATCTGTTCAGTTTTTTTTATACACCCTGTATAACACAAATCAAAATGATGTTTGTGATGTTACTCCCACACCGGGCAAACTGAAAAGTTAGCTTGGCCACGGTGGCCACTTGAGTACATATTCACCTGCATGAGTACACAACACCAACACACACAAAATCATAAATCAAAATGATTCGAGCAAAACCGGTTTTTTGTTAAAAGGAAGACTGGTTAATAGAAATTGGTCCTTTTGAGTGACATAATCGTTTGTCGTCATCGATCCGTGTCGTTGAACAATGAAAAAGTTGTCGTGAAATTAGTGAAGATAAAATTGCAGTTGGTGAGAAAACTGCAGGTCTATAGAGCGGGAACTTTTCGGATTTGAACTCAGCGTGTTCGAAAGTGTTAGTTCCCGTAAAAATATTTCAGTTCCAAGACAGGTGAAATAAAAATCTAACGGCCTAATAAGGAATATACCGACACAGAAGATACAGTAAGCTCTTAATTTAATGTCGGATATTTCACGAATCAATGTTGGTGACAGGTGTGATAATCTCAGTATGTTTCAGAAAATTTAAAACCTGTTTCAGTGATCAACTCGAAAGCTTCTGGCTACTTTGATCACTGCGCACGATAATTTATTAGTTGTAATCATTGTTTTGTAATCATTGTAACTTTTTTTGTGTAGTAACTGTGCATCTGTCGTATTAATGTATGCATAATTGTGCAAATTTTGAATAAAAAAAAGAAAAGATAAGTCATTTATAAGCGCTATAAAAAATACTACAAAATAAATTCACTGTATGCATGAATATGTTTGTGTTAGCAGGGTCGTTCCTAGCGCGATAATTGGAGGGGAGGTTCTCTACTAGCAGGATATGAGCTAATATCCTGCTAGTAGAGAGTTCGTTTTTTGGGGGGACACCCTATAGTGTTTCAGAAAACACATGACCCACAAAGTAAATACAAACACGTTGTTGATGCATGTGCTCTTTATTAAGATTGATTATTCCACGCAATACTAGATATGAAACGATTCAATAAGCTAAACATACAAAACTAGTTAACGACCTATTATTAAACTACAAAATCATTACACCAATCACATATCAGTCTTTTTCTTTTGTTCTTGTTGCTTGAGATGGGTCGCACCAGCTATAAACAAGCCAAAAAATAATAATGTAAAACACATTTGGTGACACGATATTAAGCTCTTCTATGCCTATGGCTTACACAAACCGGTGCAGAAAATGTAAGTACGGACTACGGTAATTACTCGTTTATTCAATTTTTTTTCCTTGCGGCATTTATTTGACGGCGCCGTTTATTCGAGGGCGGCGTTTATTGAAAACCTTTGAACTCAACATAAACCAAATTTAATACTAAACCCAAAAACTAAAACCCTAAGAACATAATTAATGTCTCTTCTGAAATGTGCACTGCCACTGTCTTATGAGGGCGGTGTTTATTCGATGGCTGTGTTTAATTGAGTAAGGTACGTGAACTATATGCATGCAATCACTTAATTTACTGAGCAAGTTGTTGTTGGGATACTGGGGATGACCTGCAGGCAACAAACATGCGTTTATGGAACACAGCCGTGCAATCAGTGTATCTAAAAAATGTCACCCTATAGAAATCATCCTTTTGCTGTAAACACCCAAACTTCATTACCTCTTGGAGTCCCGTCAGTTCGATTAAAAATGGTTGGCAACTGACTACAGAGCAAAGAGTTTACTGTTTTACGCGCTTGCGTTAAATTAATCAGCAACATATTCACATGTTGAACGATACCAAAAACTGTTAAATAACGCCATGAATTATGTATAAAATTCGATTCAATTGTGTTTACACACCCATGCTGGCCATGGGTTCAGTACTGGACTCGGGCATTCAAATTATAACATTATAACAATTATAACATGAATTTCTAAAGTAAAGGACACTTTTTTAGACACCCTGTAAAAGTAAAACAGTGCACTACAAAATGTGAAACAGAAGTACAACTGTACACTATATAGGCATGCATGTGTAGTACAGTATCGATAACCATGTTAGTCATATGTAACGTTGTTTCGAGCAAGGTAAAGTACAAAACTCCAGCATATACCATATCATGCAATGCACTTAGTTTCACAGTCCTCCAAAGTTTCAAAGTTGTTTCTGTTCCCCATGCAGCCACCATACACGAACGTCTTGCATGATTTTGATTTAGAGTCGTAGTAATATCTTGGAAAGTATGCCATACATAAACCTGGCTTTTTGGGAAGTAAACAGATATCTATAGAAGGAAAATAAAGAGGAAAATTAACGGGCAAATTTGTTCATCCAATGGAATTTTAACTTGACATCTCATACTAGTTGGACATATTTAAAACTACAAGAGCAAGGTCGTACTTATATTTACTAACAGCTCAAAATAAACCTTTAAAAAGAGAAATCGAATGGTGGTATTTTGGTCAATGTAAGACGCACCGATATTCGATAGTGTTAAATATTTAATATACCTGTGCAAGTATACTCGCAATCTTCCTTGGTCTCAAAATTATTTTCATTTCCTTGGCAGCCACCATAAACAAACGACTCGCACTGTCCTGATGTTGCATTGTGGAAATACTTTGGGAAATACGCCATGCAGAATCCTGGGTCAGGTTTCGAGAAACACAAGCTGGGCATCTCCGCAAAACTGAATGCTATAGAACAAAGAGCAAATATTTATGCAGGTGCATAATTAAAACAGGATAGACACATACAAACTATAAAAGCTGCAAGAACAAGTTGTAACCGAGCTCAATTTGAGATTTGAGAAGTCAATGATTATTGCATTATAAGCGCAATTCAGTCAGTTCAAGCATGCATGCATGCATGGGCCTCTTATTACTGAGTTTCCCAACTTATAACAATTGTTTTTGAAGTACCTGAATTAGGCTCATAATGCAATGATCATTGACTTCTCAAATCTCATATCCTCGGTTAGTTGGCAATCGCGTGTGAATTCACTTCCGAGTGATGCAAATGGCAGAAGGCAAACATGCACACAAGAATTATGAATTAAACCGTTTCAAGTTTTACGAGCGTCTGACCCGTCTAAAAGAACATCCCATATAGCTGTTCAGTTTTCAATCATATAGTCGGAACTTCTATATTTTATATTACATATTAGATGTTATCAATATAAAGTTATCTTTCCTTTTATATATGCCAAAATCTGTTATCTAATTCTTACCACACAAAGCATTAAAAAGCAAGCCAAATAACAGCCAAGACTTCATCTTTCTTTCTCCTTTGATTCTAGTTTTCTTCTTGTCGTGATAGGCTTCGAATCTCGCTTTTCTGATTCCATTTCCACTTGGCAACCCCTGGTTTTATATTCTCCTGAAACAGTAAACCATTCATCATTCACTTTGACAGACGTTAAAATTTTCTGACAAGAAATATATCATGTGGGTTTAAAAAATTTAGTCTAATAGTAATTATGAATTTATATTTAAGAATGTCATAAAGACAATGGCATTATATCTTTTACCATTATAACAGAATACAATGCATATAGTCTGAGTAAATAACAAATTGTTTACTGGTTATTTCTCCCTAAGCCACTGTTGACCAAACTATAGTCATTTGTTCCCACGCAGTTTACTTTGTGTTAGGTATACTATATGCATACATTCAAAGCAACAAAGATCTAATTTTGAAATTGTCGTTGTACAGTATACAACGGAGTAACAAAGGACGCGTGCTTGAACAAACTAAAACTGCGCTTTGATTTTATCAAACTGTAGACTGTATAGTGTCTTCAAGATTAATTATATATTAATAGTAGCGCTATTTGACAAAATGAGTTCCAACTAAGCACAAGATTGCAGTTTTTTATGTGAAGCTATAACATTTACTAATTTTTGAACACTGCATGGTCTTTCGCTAGGTAATAGTTGACATACAGTTGAGAATTTTCATGTACACTGATATATATACACAAAATATACCCAGGACAAAATGCGTGGTGCCTGCGCTTTTGCATGCGAAACAAACTTCCCTTTTATGGCTCCTAAACGATCGACGAATGGCAGTTGCAGCATGTATATTTTAACACACATGTAAGTTAGCACTTTTTAATTTTAAAATATAATATATCACTGGACTTGGAATCTCGGAGGTGTTATGACAATTAAAACGGATCGAAATATAGCAACATTGTATGTTTTATTCGTATAATAAGAAAGCTCATGCGAATGGATAGGGATACAACTATCTAAAAATACAAGGAGAATGCCGACGTATCGAGCCGAGGCCCTTCGTCGAGAAGTTAGTAGCGGGGATCGGGAAAATTACATGAGCGTTTATATACTAGTAGGTGGATATAAAAGAGATCACGTGACAAAAATTAAACTAATCAGATGGATTTAGTCAAAACAAAAAAGGTGAATCACATTACAGAATATACTAATAAATATACAGAAAACTACAACAAATACAAAAAATATATGAAACAAAAATGGAATAAGGTGAGAATTTAAAGTACTGTCAATGTCTGCTTTTGACAGGAAAAATAGAACTAAACATAGGAAAAACGTTCCTAGTATTATAATGCCAAAAAGGTGGACAGTGCCAAGTTTAGAAATGAGGCGCATCATATAGCTGCCAGAAATGGGATAGAGGGCTTCGAATTTTCATATCTGAAACACTGTGATTGCCATTATTAAAGTGTCAGGCAACAGGATGGTTAGCATCGTTGTCTGAATGACTAAACGCCGATGCTCACCAAACCTTGTCCTCAAAGATCTTCCAGTTTCCCCAATATATAAATTAAGCATGCCGCATGAGATGCAGTAGATGAAATGGGATCGAGGAGGTGCATGTGAACGGTGCATGGCATGGTATTGAGATTCTAAGATAGTGATAGTGTGATAGTGATGGTGAACTTTATTTAGGCACGGAGGCCTGTCATCGAAAATAAGATGATCTTCCCAGGCGCCGTGACATTTGAATTATTTACAATATTTACAAGGAGAATGAGAAATTAAAGCTATATACATGACAAAGAAATTCTACATTTATTTTTGAATATTTTTAGGGAAGTGGAATTCCTAATTTCAATTGGTATTGAATTCCATACCACTGCTCCGTTATATTCAAGACTATTTTTCAAAAAATTGGTGTTTGGTTTAGGGATAACAAAATTGTAGTCATGACCTCGTGGGCCTAATTTGTGGTACACTTTGAACATTAGACAAGATTTTTGTTTCATTCGCCTATATATCTTCTAGTGTCGGCCAATTTAAGTTATTTAAAATTTGGAAAGAGCGTATTTCGTAGTTGCTCCTAGTAATTATTCGAGCTGCTCGATTTTGTAATTTTTGAAGTTTATCCCGTAAACCTTTCCTGCAATTATCCCACACAGAACTACAATAATCAAAATGGGGGAGAATGATAGAAGAGTATATGTCAACTAGCGTGTTAATTGGCACCAGATCACGAATGCGTCTTAACATTCCCAGGCCTTTGGCTACTTTTTGGATATATAGTTTACGTGTTCTTGCCACGATAGATTTTCATCAATCATAAGCCCCAGGGATTTTGTTACAACTACTCGCTTTAAGCGATGTCCTCTGATAGATATCTTAGGATCTGATGTCAGCTTATTTATTCGGAGGCTTTGGAGCCAATTAACATATACTCACTTTTTAAGACGTTTAAACTTAGTCTGTTTGCTTGCAGCCATCTATACAAGATATATATCTAGATCTTTATTAAGTACGTCTGCAACTTTATTAATATTTGTATGATAAGCAGTTATATTTGTATCATCAGCATACATATTAGGGATGGACTCAGACAAGCAGCCAGGCAAGTCATTGATGTATATCAAAAATAACAGCGGTCCAACGATAGAGCCCTGTGGTACTCCGCATGATATTATTTGGCTGCTTGAAAGAACTCCATGTCAATGGCATTGAGTCCTATTCGATAGATATGACTGGAACCATTTCAATTCATTATCTTTGATTCCATAACGCATTAGTTTATTCAATAAAATGTTATGGTCCACAGTATCAAATGCCTTTTTCAAATCTATAAAAACTGCTATGCCAATGTCCCCTTTGTCCATATGTTTGTACCAGTACATCACAGATTTATGCAAGGCACTTTCTGTAGAACGATTAGGACGAACTCCTGATTGGTGATCAGAAAACATATTTTCCTTCATAAAATATCCGTATACTTGTGAAAAAACTATACAACTAGCTTTTCGAAAATTTTTGAAACAACAGGAAGCACAGAAATAGGCCTATAATTACTTCTATCTTTTCTATCACCAGTTTTAAAGACAGGCGACACCTTGGCTACTTTTAAGTCATTTGGGAAAATGCCATTCTTTAAAGATACATTGAAGATAGACGCTAGTGATTCTGAAATAATCGGAGCTGCCATTTTTAAATTTTTTGTAGGAAGTTTGTCAATTCCTGAAGCTTTAGTTGCAGCTAGTTTATTTATAGCAATCAAAACCTCGTTAGGTTCAGTTGTTTTGAAAGTATAAACAGTGCTTGTTTCAGGTATGAATTTGTCCGGCTGATCTTGGATAGGTGGAATTTGATGCGCTAAATCATGTCCGACATTTGTGAAATGTTCATTGAATAATTCAGCTATTTCACTGGGTTGTGTATAATTAATGTCATTAATCACGATACTCTCAATTATAGTATTTTTTGATATTTTGCCTAGCATGCTATTTATTATCTTCCAAGTTGCTTTTGAGTTACCTTTACTTGTTTTAATATTCGAGATATAATAATTTCGCTTCGCTTCCAGAATTTTATTGTTTGTTTTATTCTATGCTTTTTGGTAAAGCTCCCAAGTGCGACTAGTTTTAGATACAGTAGCTTTTTTCTTCAAATTATCTCTTTCAAACGTGAGCTTTTTAATGTCAGGAGTAATCCAGGTCACGTCAGACACGTTTTCTTCTTTTAGGTGCGTGAGTATTTAACGTATTTAGAAATAATGTATTCCAAGTCGATAACATCTCATTGGGATCATCAAGTTGTTTAATAATATTATTCCAAAGTTGATTTGAAAAATCATATAAAAAACTTTCAGCGTCAAAATCTTTGTAATTTCTAGTCTCAATGAGTCTGGGCCTTTCACGTTGGGGGCATATTGCGATGAATGGCATAAATTAAATAGTGATCACTTATA